CTGCATTTATATGCATGTATTCTGCAATATGTAGAGAGCTTTATTTAGAACTAAATCATATTTTAAAATTCCCATCAAAATAAACAAAATTCAATTTGGATTAATTTTGAAAACATGGAAATAGAGTATTGTTATATAGAATGGAATATAGTTTTCAATAAAGTTTACGAGATAAAAAAGAATGCAACATTTTTCCCAACATGGTTATTTTGTTATTAGTTTTGATCAGTTGATAGATTGTGAGAGCTTATCTGTTTATCCAACATCAAATAAATCTCCCAATACAATTTTAAGCAAATATATCCCTTCACCACTTTAAGCAAATTAAATTCACTGACCTCAGCCTGTTCTGGAGCGCCCACGCTTGGTTTCCTTCTATCTCTGAGTTTTCCGAACATGAAAATGGCAGATATAGCTGCGACTGTCAAGATAGCGTACATTTCCACAGTAATTCCCTCCGAAGTGGCCCTAGATGTCTCCTGGACCATTTCCTCGGCCATAACCGCTTCTGATAACATATTTTGCGGAGCCAGATCTTCCCCGCGCCAAAACATGAATTTATTTAAGATTGCGTCCATCTTTCTGAAATAGAAGAAATTTAAAAATGAATGCAAGGGAAAGTACACCAAATTTATCATTTATAGAAAATAAAATTTTCTTATTTTTCCAATAATTAGGTGAGGCAAATTGAATTTAAACTACATGCATATTTTGCGGAAAAAATCACTGCTGGTGGTAAAAAAAATCAGTAGAGTGAATCAAACTTTTAATGTGGAATGTAATATTTTAATATTGCATTTCAAAATATCATTATATCATTTCTAATTATATTTGGTTCACTTTTCTGAAAATTTTCATACCTATAGCATCAGTTATTATATTTTTTTGCATCATTTTTTCTAATGTAAGATTTTAATATATATCTTAACCTCTTAGGAATTTTATAATTTGTCAATTAAGTCATAACATATTAATTTTTTAAAATATAAAGAATATACCACCTTACAATTTACTAGGATGTTATTCCAAACCTTTTTTTTTAATTTTTAATTTTTGCTATGTTTTTGTATTTTTAAGTAAACATTATTATAAAAATTTAGTACATTTGAAAATTGTCAACTGTCTACATTGTATTTGACGTACATTAGTTTTTTTGTTTTTGTTTTATTTGTCAAAAATTGTGCGAAATAATTTTCAGAAAAATTTGTAAATTTCTAAAGTAAACAGCATTCTATTTACATTCTAAAATAAGGTTCAAAACAAATCAAATTAAATAAACGTAAAATTAAGAAAAAACTATATAATTTATAAGTAGAATATTTATTATTATGGTATTATTTATTTATTATTTATTTATTATTATGGTATTTTGTTTCTAAGTCTATCGCAAATTGTTAATAGGTGTGTGATTAAAATAGTTGTTTTGTAATATAATACTTTAGATAATAGTTGATTTTTTATATCATATATTAAATATTTATTTTTACTATCTTTACTTTGTGAGCCACTTTCCATTTTAGCATATGAGTTATTTTAAAACAATTTCATTGGCAAAAGTTTTGCAACAACATTATACTCCAATATCCATCTCTAATTTATAAACATATGTTCGGAATTTAAATAGTCCTTTTAAAGTTATTTGCACACGAAGAAGGTCTGACGTTCAAATATCAAAGACTTAATTAATATCCTTGTGTGAATTAGTCAATCGTTCGACCATTAATGATTTGCAATACCACATGTCCTTTGGAAAATGTTATTTTGGACCCAAATGAAAGGTAATAAGGCTGATCATGCGAAATTAATTAAACTTGGCACACATTGTTATTATAATTTACCAAAACTGTGACAAAAATTTTAAATTTATTCATACGGTAGTTTGCGAGATATGCGAACTTACACTCTGACCTGAAACTTGCCTAGTTTTAGGTTGAGAGCACGTTTTGCCTAGGTGCAGCATAGTATTTGAGAATTTTTATTTTTATTTTACAATTTGTATAAGTTTTATAACATCATCTAACTTATTGCATTGTAAACATATTTTCAATTAAAACTTTTAATTAATTCGTAATTTTATTTTTTCGTTATTATCTATCCATTTTCATGGATGCATAATTCGTGGTGAATACGTAAATATTTTAGAATAGCTTATTTGAAAAAAATATTAAAGTAAAGTATTAATTAACAGTTTTGTTTTACAAACTAAAACAAACATAGTATTCAATATTATATTGAATTAAGGAACTTTTGTAATTTCTGAAAAATATTTTAAAATAGATAATTTCTGTACTAAAGAATAAATTTGTTTGGTTTTAAATCCTCTATCTATCTATCTTCATAAAGTCTTTTTTTCTATTATTAATGATCTTTTTTTTGATTTTATTTCGACGAAAATATACAGATATTTAAAGTTACATGTTACTGAAGTTTGGGTGTTCTTGAAGTTTAGAGAAGTTTCTTGTGAGGAATGGAAAATATTCTCATTATAGATATAATGAGCTCTATTTCGTAAAAGGAGTACGCTGATGTCTGCATTTTTCATCAAGTTCTTCTAATTTAGCAGCATCGTCCATTTCGTCTACATCTTTTGGTTCTACTGGAACGTTCAGTTTGTGACTTCCAGTGCCACTCTTAACTTTTTCCTCCCGTTCTTTTTCAGAAGTTTTAGAAGAGTGACCTTCACGCTGGGGAAGGATATTTATTTCGTATAAATTGTAATGGTCTGGATAATTTTGTTCCAAAACTATGTATTTCAAGGATAATATCTCACGTGAGTTTTGGATCTTCCAGAAGTACCGCGGCCGCTTTTGCCGCCAGCTCGGACTCGTAACCAAGCAAACGCGCAAAGAGCGACTACGGCGACTGCCATCACATAAGTCCCTAAAATACCATTTTAATAATTTTGATATCCAAAATAATCATGTATCTCATCTTAAATTTAATTCAGAGTTAAGCCATGATTTCTGATCTACATCCTTGTCAGGTGAAAATTGAGCGGATCAAGAAAAATCTAACTTGACTAAGACGAAATACAAAAGAGAAAGGGAAAGGAAAATTCAAAATAAGAGAAAAAAGTTAATTTTGTTAAAACATATGTTCTGATATATTATATTCATAAGTTTTGTTTAAATGACTATGTTGTGAGAATGATTTATATTTTTAATTCAATTTTTTTTTCACCTGCCATCGCATATTCTAAAGGAATAGTAGGAAGGCTACGAGCCGTACGATCCGAAAACCAGTTGAATGGATTAAACCGCGGAAAAAACCTGTCGTGAACTGTTGCCAGCATATTCATAAATACATTTACTATATACATTTTCTAATGCTATAGTCACAAACTCACTTTAAAATTTTGAAAAACTATTCGTTTGCTAGGTATATTATTTTTTTTTTTTGATTTTTTAAATATTTTTACTTTTTTTTTGATTAATGAATTTTGTTTTAAATTTTGACAAATTGTCAATTTATGTCAGTGGTTACTAACATTGCATACTGATTTGACAAAGTTTAATTGATAAAAAATATTCCTAATTTTTTTACATAAATTAATTGTTTATGTAATAGATTATAAAATATTTTAAGTAAGATAATGGATATATTTTTTAAATAAAACAGGTAACCAGCATAAACAAATTACTAGATTTTTAATAATAATGTATAATAAATGTATATAAAATATATGTATGTAAAATATTTTAAGTAAGATAATGGATATATTTTTTAAATAAAAAAGGTAACCAGCATAAACAAATTTCTATATTTTTATTAATAATATATAATGAATGTATATAATTCTGCGTTAAAGTGATGGACTCCTAATTTTTACGAGGATAGGTAAATGGGAATTATTGACAGACACAACTTTTTGGACTAAATCTTTTGATCGAGGCTCTTTGGTTTGCTGCAGCTAACAAGGAGTACCTCTGGTTAACTCTTTTGGGATTTGGATGAAACTTTGCATGGTTATAAGGTTGATAGTCAAAACAAGCCTCTTAAAATATTATAGGGTTACAAGATGATTTTACAGAGTTTTCTGCCAATATGTGGATTGAATCTTTTGATTAAAGCTCTTTGGTTTGGTTCAACTAAAAAGGAGAACCCCAGGTCTACTTTTCTGGGATTTGGATTAAATTTCGCATGGTTATAAGGTTGATAGTCAAAACAAGCCCCTTAAAATATTATAGGGTTACGAGATGATTTTACAGAGTTTTGGGCAAATATTTTGGGCTCTGCGTTAAGGCGACGGACTCCTAATTCTTACCAAAGAAAAAGCCGAAAGTAAATTCAGAGGGAGGAAAAGTAAATGGCTGGGAATTATTGATCAATTAATTGAATAACAAAATATCTTGGAATTACCTATTACTCTACCATGTCTTTGCCATAAATAAGTAAATAGGCTTGTGTCAACTTCTGCCTGGTCGAATAGAATAAACGAAGATGATACCATTACGCACTACATTTTTTACCAATTAATTATAATCGTTAGCTCAACCTGTCAGCAGATGGATCATAAATCGATACCTCGGACGGGGTATGCAATTTCATTAGCAGTATCTGATTACAACTGATATGATGTGTCGACGATACCTTGAAATGTCAGACGTTTTAACCGGAGGCCGGTCTCATAAAACGTCAATCCCGATTCGGTCGACCAAGCAATTTAGAATTAAGTTTCGGGTATGTTCTCAATTTCGATCATGAAGAGGCTATATCGTTTTAGGAATTTCAGGCTTCATAGATTTGGAAACAGAACTTATCGAAAATATTATCTCAGAGGATTGGGAATACTCTGAGGAATTACCATTATATGAAATTCAGATACTTGGACATAAGTTTATGAACTTTGTTGCTGAGCATATGAGTGAAAATCTGATTATAGAAATTTATTAAACCATTAAATTTTGCAGCAAATATTGGTTTATACATACACATCAATTGTTTTTTTAAATGAAAGAATGCATTTGAAGTTTATTAAAGTAATAATGAAGTATTTGTAGTAATAGGTATCACTTAATGAACGTCAATGAAATAAAATATGGTTGAAACACGTTCAATACAATTATTATATTTGTAATGGATTTTACGCATTAGGGCGTAATTGTTCTGAAATTAGAGCAAATATTACTTTGAAAACGCGTCAGATAAGTTATATTAATATGTTTATTCAATAAATATTAAAAAAAATAGAGCCTATATATAGCTCAAAATTTGGATTATCTATTCCAAATAAATATAGTCAAAATAATGTAAAATATTCTTTAATATATTACAAAATGTGAATTTTAATTTTATTTCCAAGAAGTACGTTTCTGTATCATATGAACCAAGTTTCCGCTTTCATTTCCGAGTTATACATATACGTTTATATCTAATAAATTTAACAATAAGCAAAATTTGATTAGATCACGGATGTTCTCATATTGATATCAGGTGCCTCAGTTCGTAATTCAATATATTATGCTCTCGACTTAATAATATAATATTACGTCGTGGATTCGTTCAAAGCATTTTATGAAATAATGTATAGAATGGTGTAAATAAATAGCAACTGGTGTAAAATTATATGCAAATTTTTTCTGTTAAAATTTTCTAGTTGAAATATATTTAAAAAAATATTGACAATCAAAACATTTTTAAAAATCCGGGACAATCCGGAACAAAACACCTAAATCCGGGACAAATATTGCTTTCAGAGAAATCCGGGACGCAAGGCGGAAAATCGGGACTGTCCCGGCCAATCCGGGAAGTATGGTCACCTTACTAAAATACATGAACTCATTATTTAGTTTATAAGCAATGTATCTTTATAAAATTTGATTTCTATCCTTCCAGGGCCTCAGACAGATCGCCCTTTGACAATTGTTGTGGGGCCGGCTATTTGGCCGTCGGTTCAATATCGCAGTCGACTTCGGAACCGTCGAGCCCCGGGGAGCCTCCACCAAACCCCAAATATCGAGTTGTTATGCTGGGAGATTCGGGTGTGGGGAAGACTGCCCTTGTTTCCCAGTTTATGACTTCGGAGTACATGAATACTTATGATGCCAGTCTCGGTAAGACGAAAACATTGTAATAGACAATTTATTGTAGTTATTATATTAATCATAAACCTATAAAGTGATTTTTGGTCAAAAATTGACCAATATTACTAAATATCCAGTTGTTATGCTGGGAGATTCGGGTGTGGGGAAAACTGCCCTTGTTTCTCAGTTTATGACTTCGGAGTACATGAATACTTATGATGCCAGCCTCGGTAAGACGAAAACATTGTAATAGACAATTTATAATAATAAACTTATGAAGTGATTTTTGGTCAAAAAGTGACCAAAAAAATTGCATGTAGATACAGTGTACTTCAAAAAAGCAACAGAAGATGTAAGATTTTTATGGCATGTGAATCTCTATGTTCCAATTGACTTCAAGTCTTTGATTTAAAAACCATATTTGTCTCATTGTTTCCTGTATTTTTTACACCAAATGCACTTATTACACCGTTATTTGCCTGTGTCACATCATAAAAATTCCAACTTTCTTTACTTAAGACTTGTTAAGGGTGGCACGTTAAAAAGTAATTTACCAAATTCCTAAATTTGCATATAGGGCAGTAGCTAACAATAACTTGACGTGATGAAATCTCCTAGAACTTGGAAATGTGAGGATTAACTATTCTTGCGTGCTAGGATATACGCAATGATCCTTTTATCGGTTCCATCAAGATCTAATCTAAAGGCATTAGTATATAAAACACCGTGGGTACTATGTACTATATCGGGATATAATGTAGATGTAATAATCAAGAAATATTGTAGAAGTTGACGTAATCATATTTGATGACAATTGAAATATAAAACAAAGTTTGCAAATAAATATTGAAATTCGAATTTAGCTATTAAATATTTTAACAAGGCCCGGCCAACAATCAGAACCTTACGTTCTACAAGCAATTGGGCTAAAACTTCTCATTATGTGATATTTTTAGATAGCAACCCAACGGTTGATCCGTCCAAGTGTTTGATTATTTCATTATTAGAAGTTATCTAATAGATCTGATTTATCATCAATTTGATGCAGCAATGTCTCCCATTCCTAATTGATACCAGAATTTTTGGCGAAAACATGGACAAATATTTTTGCACTATTCAATTAATTCGATCCCAAAACTAATTCAAGCGAGTATTTAAGGAGTTTCAGCAAATACAGACGTTTTTTAGAACAATTCGACAAAAAGCCAAATTTTGGCTTACATGCCAAATTGCACACATAGATACATGCAACTACACTCATACTTGGTCTCAAAGGATTCAAAGTGACTTCAAACAGACAAAAAGGAAAGGCAAATACATAAACTTTTCCTTCTGAAAGTTAAAATAAGAGCATTTATGGAACAGAATAAAATGCATATCATATATGGCAATTACCCATATTCCAACAACAATTTCACGCATTATAAATTCTTAACAAAAATTTCATACGCTAATTACATTCATACACAATTGCAATTTCATATGAATTCTGAAATAACATATCATCGTTCGTGTAAACAAAACAAGTAATTATCTATAAACAATGAATCTGCTACAGCATCTCTATTATCTAACAATTTCAGTATATTTTAAATTTAATTAACTACGTCCTATGTACATATTTATTATGTGATGTAATCAAATTTTGTGTTTTACTATATTTCATGTCACAGCCAATTAGCTGGAATAACAGAAACCCACCTAGTAAAATTGCAAAAATAATTTATCAAAATATTGCATATGGTAATAGAAATAGGTGAAATATGACTAGAACTGGGTTAATTGTTAACTAGTTTTTATAAATTACTAATGAATCGTGGAGCTTCAGAAAAATAATCTTAACAAAGAGAAAAGCAAAGTTAAGAAAATGATTTATCAAAATGTTTCTAAAACTCTCGTAAAAGCATTATCGTGTAGACTCAACATCTGAACACAGATTTATACTTCGTTAAGGTAGTTTCGTCAGCATCAAGAAACAATTTATTTATCGACTTTATTTGATCGAGATTCTGATACAAATATCTGAGGTAAAGGTAAATGCGATTGGAAACCCATTTGAAATAAATTCAATGATAAAGACTTATTTTTATAACATAATAAAAATATTCCTTATTAAAATTATTCCCTTGACCAATCTCAACCCAATATTTCCTTTATCATCCGACCTATCAATTCGAATCACACCCACGGTGTTTACATATTTTTGCCAAAAAGCTGTGCCTTTCCTTTCGAAAATATTATACAAATATCAATATGATATTGTGCGACAATAACATTTTCTCGTTGGGTGGTTCTGATTAAATTTTCATATTTTTCAGATGAAGAATTCGGTGAAAAAACAGTTTCCGTATTACTGGACGGAGAAGAGAGTGAGATGACTTTTATCGATCATCCGGCGGTCGAGATGTCGGTAAGTGGAAGAAATTTTATTCTTAAAAAACTCATGCAATTTTAATTATTTTTGCAAGAAGTTAATTAATAAATAGAATTTTATGAAATTTTACGATTTATGAATTTTGAAGTGAACAACTAGTTCAATTAAAACACTCTGCTACCCCCTCTACCAGGGGTAGCAACCATTCCGTGTAAAGCTTAATGCTCTGAAGTTTGTTACCTTCATGGCCAATATAATAAAACGAAAAGACGTCCGAACATAGGACGAAAGGTCTGAAATTTATGAAAGCGTCAGATTCGTGAAAACAAAAAGAAAGTACTCATCGAAATATGAAACTATTGGTGCATGGCACTGTGCCTTAAGGCAAATTGCTGGAACTTCCCGTACTAAAAATTATTTTTTTTAAAAACGATTCAAATTTCTTTTAGAATTATGAAACAATCGATCTTTGAGATTTTTAAAAATTTTTGAAAAGAATTTAATTTATCAAGTTTATTCTCCATTTTGCTAATTCATTTCATATATTTTGATTTCATCATTTATTTATTTTTGCATGTAAGTTTTTTAATTCTAACATTGAGACATAACATAACAAATTAATTATAAAATATATATCCTACAAGTAAGTTACATAAGTTTATTACTATTAAAAAAAGATATTTCATTTGAATTTGTATATTTTCTGAAACATTTATTACGCAATAACTGCGTTACGATAACAAATGAAATTTCCTGGTGTTCATTAAAACGTTTACGAGAACCTCAAAGTTAATTAAATAATTTAGCATGGCCATTAAGTCGTTATAAAATTTTATGTTACTTTATAGATAGATGTTATATATTTTTAGCTTTAATAAAATCGTTATCGTTTATAATGAAATGGTTGAAGAAATAATAATATTTCTAAATTATCTCAAAATTCAACTGGAAAAAAACTAATTTAAAAATTTATAATTAATTCTCTGAAAATTCTTTTTTTCACGAAGTGTGAAACATGAGTAGGCATTTTCATTTCGTTGTAAATTAAATAAAACCCCTCACACAAATACTACGAAATCTGCTTTCTGATTTATAAGTTCTCCTGAATTATTTTTAATTAATCATACCACCCTGCCATATTTCATACACGTCCTTATTCCGAAAGTTGCACTGAAATTTAATTAGAATTTTCCTCAAATTACACTTTTAGCTTTTCCAGGAAAGAAAACACAGAAACCGTGTACCCTTTGTAAATGCTTGTTTTTTATTGTACAAGTTAAATGAACATCTGAAGATGATATTTTCCGATGAAGTAGGAGTTAATAATTAAAAATGATCACCATGTCGTTTTTAGTGCAAACTAAAATGACTATTGAAGTGCTTGAAATTTAAATACCTTTAGTTGAAATATTTTGTCAATGCACTTTATAAACAAAATGGATTAAATTTTATCTAGAAATTACTATGGAAATTAATATTATATACTAAGTGCCATCAAGGATCTGATGGAACAAACGAAAATTAATATAGGTTGGATGGAGGATTAAAGTTTTCCTCTCGGGATTACATGCTAGATGAAATTAAAAAAGCTTGCGGCCAATTAATCTAAGCTTTATTAGATTTTCATAACAAGGAGTAAAAAATAGGGTATAAAAATTAGTAAATTAAAGATAAAAACGATGACCATAAATTTGATCCAAAATTAGAACCACGTTACGAACTTGAAGGAATCGTCTAAATACCCCATATAATAATGGAAATTTAATCTTTTTATACCAAGAAGCTGTATTCTTAATTTTTCTGGTTCGATGACTGACTAATACAAACTTTATTATTAATTAATTCTTATATCTTTTAATTTCCAGGTTGAAAATTCTCTCTCTACATACGAGCCACACGCATGTGTGGTAGTTTACAGTGTGGTCGCCAAACACAGTTTTCAGTTTGCCGAAGAAACTTTGAATTATTTGTGGCAAGAAAATATTACGAAGGACAAATCAGTGATTGTCGTGGCAAATAAAGCAGATTTGGCGAGGGCCAGAGTCATACCGAATGCAGGTAAAAAATAATAAAAAAATAATTAATTATTCTCATTGTGTAAAGTAAATGTAATTTTTTGAAATAATAAGGTATTTGTCAAGTTTTGATAGCGTATAGAAAAATGAAAAAAAAGGAACTACGTTTGTTTACACTGAGATAATGTAGAATAATGAAAACAGATTCTGCAAATCGTCTACGATCACTATTGACTCAACACATTTTATTCTTTATAAAGAATGGTCGGTGATTCTGATTAGTATTGAAAATATGATTAAAAGGAGAACTGTATTCAGAGAGCTTCAGTGTGTTTTTAAATTGTTTAGGCAGTTATAATTATAAATATGTTCAATCATTCTTATTGTAGACTTTCCCCAATATATCAAAAATCACAGCTATTGCAATTTATCTTAACAAATGTATATTTTTTCAACGCTTTAACTGTTAATTAGTCAAATTATATATATATATATATATATATGTGTGTGTGTGTGTGTGTAAGTACATTCTCATTATTTGAACAAAAACCGCTTATTTCCTTATGCACAAGAAATTTTCCTATATGCAAATTATTTCTTTTCTTTCTGTGATTTTGTCGCATCTTCATTTTTCGAAAAGAGCCTAAATCTCCCATCAAAAATGAATGGTAAAAGCAAAGCTGCCCTTTGAAGTTACCTTTATAATGGAATCGCAAACGAGACATGTAGATATATTCTTTATTCATATGTATTCCTTTACTTTCCGACCTCACGCTTTTTAAACTAATGACCATAAATCATTTGTGTATGAAAATATATTATTTTAGACAATGGTCTGTGCGGTTCTGGATCCTGAATTGTGATGAATTATATGGAGCCATTGTGTGGTGAAAATGTTTCATTAGGCATGAGCTGTGTTATATATTAATTTAAGCTTTTAGCTTTGGTAATTTCCTAATTAAGGAACAAAAGGTGGATTTGCTTTGTCGAATTATTAATATGATGGTCTTTCTTAAAAAACATGAGTCTTAACAAAAGAAAACATCGGGTACAAGAGATTGTAGATTGCAATAGAAACAACAAATTTGCACAACAAGTATGTGAAAATAATCCGATTTTGGAAAAATCTGCACCTTTGCATTCTTGAGTATGGAACAAGAGTCGAATTGCAAAACTTTATTTCTAATAAATTGTGTAAATTAATATTACAGATGGAAAAACTTTAGCAGCTTCACGTGAATGCAAATTTATAGAAACATCGAGTGGAATTCAACACAATGTGGACGAATTATTAGTTGGAATACTGAAACAGGTAGAATTAATATTTTTTTGTCTTTATTAAATAAATAGATGTAACTTTACATTTCCCAGTAAAAGAACAAGAAGTCACAAATAATAAATATTGAAATATGTCACAACTAAAAGGACGACCATTGTTGTTGTCTTCTAATAGTTAAATAAATATCTAAATATTTTTAAGTAATTATTTATATTACTATTACTTTATTTATTTCAACTTCCTAGGTTCGTTTAAAAGAATCTCGAGACAAAAAACGTCAGCAACAAGAAAGCACTTCCTCAAATGGATCAAACGGAAAATTGAAAAATTCGAGAACTCACGTCTCTCTGCATTTGGCAAGAGAACTTTTGCAAAAAATTTGCATCAACGACATCACGAAAAGTCGAAGTTGCGAAAATCTACATGTTCTATGAAAGTAAATGAAAAAATCGTCGACTTCCTGAATGAAATAAAGCTGGCCTTTGCATTCAGGCTGGAATAATAATAATAATGGTCAGATGTTCTTGGCCAAATGGTTTATCGCTTTAAAGTAATAAACATAATTATGAATGATATTACTAATAATTAATGGCTGTCTTAATTTTTGTTTGTGTATGACGTAGAAATATTAAGAATGTTTTGAAGATATTTTAATAAAAATGCAGGCAAATGCATTTAATTTTTGAGATGCAGAATTTTGTCACAGGTGACAAATTGGCGATTGTTGTATCAACAATTTATGATAAAATCTTGTCATTTTAAATTTAAAATAAATTTCTAGAATAATAATTTTAAATATTAAAATACAAGATTGTTATTAATATCATATGAAACTATACATTATGTAACTGTCTTTCTAATTTTATATTCTAATTATCATCTTTTCCAATCATGAATTCTGAGAGTAGTCATTACTCTAGTTTAATTTCCTTAATTACCAAAAATTATTAATATATTTTAATTTAAATTATGATTTTCTATGTATATACATGTAGCATATGAAATATAAATATATATTTAACATATGTGACAATAATAAATACATAATCCGTTCTCAAAGTAATTTATGATAAAATAATCAATACTTTAAGCACAAACTATTTTGCCAATACGAAAAATAGATCTTACGTATATCAAATTTAAAAATGCATAATAAATCTTAAAATTAAGCAGAATATTTAATATTGTATTTAAAGAGTTAAATCTTTCACTAAATAAGTATTATTTTTAAAGATATTAAATTTACCTCTATGGTTTTTTTCATAATCAATATTTATAACTAGAATTTTTTTAAGTTTAATAGTGTTTTTAAAAAATATAATCATGATTTTTTAATTTAATTTTTTAAAATATATAAAATTATTTATTGTTATTTTTCTTAGAGTTGAATTATTTATTTGGTTGTAATTTTTAATTATTAATAATAAATACTGAAATAATATATCATAACTTACAGTGTATGTTAGGTTTATGTTAGAATTAATAATAATTAATCATAATCATACTATTAGTACTAACATATCTTATAACATTCTAAAGCTATGTCAATTAATCTCTAACGATTCTTTAAATTTTAGATTTTCTATCATAAATGTTAAGTTTTATAAGAATATAATCTTTGATGTGATATTTTTATATTTCCTTATTGTATAATATTTATTAAACATATTAGCAATTAAATGCAAAGGACTCAAACATATTTTCTAGTAGAAGTGTTATATTTTGATGCAACAGAGCAAAAGAATTTTTTGTAAAATATACAGAAAAACTATTTTTGTCAAATAGTCCCGAATCTTAATTACAGCAAAAATTACATTTTATTTTAGGTATCAAAGTTATTCAACATAGAATTGAAATGCAATTTACTCGCATTAAATTGGATTTTTATAATATAATTCCTTGTAAATATTTTGATAGAATAATTTTAACGCGCAAGTACCGTGTCATGGTTTATCAAAATTATTGCAATTTCTCATCTAATGAAGAACTGCATCAGCAATTTATTTAATTTAAGAGATACTAGGCAACCTTTGACTTTCACCATCGACCTGAAATATTTCTATAATTTTTACAGACTTTAATCCAACATTTTAATCAATATTTATCCGCAACATCTAATTGATGCCAATGCGCAATAAAAATGTAAAATAAAGTATTTTTCCATTGGTAATTAATTTTTTTTAAATTAACAATTTTTCAAATTTCAAAATTGACAACAATTGTATTACATATATTATCAAAAAATGTTAATAAAAATTACTATAACTTTCAATAATAAAAATATTTTCAAGAAAACGTATGTAACAGTCCTTTGCATTTAATTTATATCTATCGAATATTTGTTAAGTAAATGTGTGTCTAGTATTTAATTTACAATAAAAAAATGAAATGTCCCACAAATTTAAAAATTCAAGTTTGAAAAAATTATTTGAAATGATATATTCTGAATGTAATTCAAACTTGAAAACTGTAAAAAAACTACAGGCAAAACCTTTACATTTAAACGAAATAAATTCATTATAATCATTAGTCTTTATAATAAACTTATTGTTAGTCTATTGATTTCAATTTTAATATAATTATAGGTATTATTTCACATTATTCATAGATAAATCTTCCATGTAAAGAATTATCTTAATGACAATCTACCATAGGTATTTTAATATGTATATATCAAAGTTAAAGGAATATTTAAATAAAATATAAAATCTATATTATTATTGATCAAAATGTGTAATATAAACTTTAATGTGATAATAAAAATGTGTGTGCATTTTATTTATGAACTGTTTTATTTAATATTGAAGTGATTATTATATTTGTTATCAAAAATTTTAAATTTATTCATTTATTTATTCATAAGCAAACAGTAATTAAAAGAAAAAAAATAAGGGGTAGCACTGCCCTAGGGCTGATAATGAGTTAAACTTGAACTGGGTTTAGAGAAGAATAATGCGAAAGATTTCCCATTGCCATTACACACCGCAGTGCCCAAAATGGAAACATCATGTGAGAATTGACATCGCTATTGCATGATGTCAGATTGTCCAGAGCGGATTTCGAGCTCACGACTACGTCCACACGAGTCCATGAGCTTAACATTATGAAGCACCCATTAATCAATAGTAAAAAGTATTATTTTGAAGCTCTGGTTTAGGGATGAAAATTGATTTACCAATTGGTATTTCTAAAAAATTCTACAATAAAATCTAAATAATATTTTATACTAAAATTAGAAAAATATTTCATATAAAAAATCGAATCAATTATAATTTTAATCCCATTGGTATTTAATCACTTTCCCAAATAGATTATTACACAATCCTAAGTCATTAAAGATAGGTTTTGTTTATCAATTAGATTCCGTGATGTTGTTTTGATTGATTTCGGGGTAAAAGTCAAATATAATTAACGTCCAGCTGGTTTACTATATAAGAATGAGCAATTTGCAACTTTGTATGTCACTTTACATCTTAACGATCTTAAGTGAATTGATATTTTGCTCGAATCAGCAAAATGAAATTTTCTCTGGTGTTTTGTATTCTGCTATCGGCAGGTAATATAGTAAATGATACATTTGAAAAATATATAATTTATATATTATCATTAATATTCAAAGTTCAACTGTATGTAAGAATTTACTTTAATCTTCTTATAATCATCTTTCTGCTTTTCTGATTGCTTTGATACTAAATACGTATCACTTGGATTCCCAAGTAAAATTTTAGCGAATCTCAAATTTATAACAATGTTATTGTTTTCCATGTTTCTTCTTCATTTTTTTATGATAGTAAACTAATGAAACTATACCTCTAATTTAATTTT